GTATTTAATTTTGCCGAACTACTCATTAAAGTCTAAAGGATGTCTACGAAGACATAATACTATCCGATTTACAACTTGCGATTGAACATGGAATCGAAGAGCGATTGTGGCGACACGTGTTTTATAGCTACGTCGAAGAATTGCGCATTCGATTGAGAAAGGTAGGATCTAAAAAAAAAAGAAATACGGCGGAGATAGGTAACCTGTGAACAATTCTCGATTTACTCCGACTTTTATTGTAATTTTTTCAGAATAAGCAGCCACAAAGCCACGAATACCAAATGGTTTATTTGGAACTGAGCAGATACTTAGACATGGGAACGGGTTTTTATCATACGCTGGTCAATACTATTAAGATAAGCGAAGGAATGAATCTCAACACTATCGGAATTGGTATGTAGAACTCTTAATCTTTATTGACATGCTATTTATTTTAAACCACTCAAGTTGCCACGTTCGCATATTGCCACAACAAATATTCATTCACATTTATTTAATTTTTCCATATCAAAGACCTCTTACTCTCCACATTCGCCTCTTCTGCGTCTCCAACTCCGCCCAGTCCGTCTCACAAACGTTCATCCCCAGAATCTCATACCGCATATTCCTCACGCAAGCAACTTGCCGCAGAGTGTATACAACGATGTTTGATCTATTTAGGAGATCTCGCGAGATATAGAGAGTGTATAGCTGATGTAGAGGGAAACAAGAAATGGGAATTTGCAAAGAGGTTTTATTTAACGGCTGCTAAGGTGTTTCTCGATAATGGTAAGCCATAAGTTTAGAGAAGAACATGCGAAAGGGGAAGGTGCTATCGAATTTGATATATAACGCCTGTTTTAAGCCAGTGCATATCTTAGAGATTGTGGTGACATTAATAGTTACTTTCGTAGGAAAGGCTCAAGGTCAACTTGCTGTCCTGGCCGCGTATTCTGAAAACGATCTCGATATTGTCTACTGGGATACTTTTAGGTGATTTTTAAGAATCCATGCATTATTTATCTTTACCCACGCTCTTTAGTAGCCTGCTTATTATAAAGTCTTTATGCTCTAGTCTTGCAACGAAACAACCATCTTTAATTGCAGAAGACAATCTACAGAACTTTTACACACAATTTGTGATGCGCACACCCGAGATGGTGTTGAGTGATGCTGAGACGTAAGTGACAAAAAGCAAACACTTGATTGATTTTATTTGGCGTGAATTCTTGAGAGCAAATAGAGTTGAAAGTGATTATGTGTTTGGAGTACTAGATGCCGTTGATTACACTAGTCATACTTTACTTGCGGATTAAATTTATAGAACGGAGGATAATAATATTAAGCTTGTATGGCAATTTTTATCAGTTCATCTATGCCTGTTTAATCAAGATACTTCAAGGTAATATTAGTTGTTCATCCTTCTCACTTCTATCTTCATTTGCATTATTAACATAAATAATCTCAACCTTAATTGATCCTAACAACATGATTAGCCTTCCCAAACGCCTGAATGCGCTCCTAAAAACGATAGAAACGTCTGTCCTTTCGCCTCCAACGGTCACGAAATTAGTATTTATTATTATTTATACACTTTGGGATTTTCGTCGTCAGAGTCTGCGCAGTAGCAACGCAAAAAGGTCAAGTAGAGAGAGTAAGTACCTCACCAGTCCGACAAATAGAGAGGGTAGATATGTCACTAAACCAACTAGCAGAGAAGGTAACAGCGCTAACAACCTCGCCGGAAGTAGTACTAGCGCTAATGCTAGTAATACGGATGGACATATAAAAACATTACAGCAAGCCGCTTTTGCTGTTGGATTCGCATTATGTTTGCGAGCAATTGAAAATCTAGATACAAAAGGCTTAAGAGGCAGCATTATATGGTATGATTATATTCAAAGTATATTGGAGGGATTGGTGCAATCGTATGCACATGTTAAAGCAGAGAGAGAAAAAGGGTCAACTGAAGATGATGTCGCGCAGACGTTTATTACGGTACGTTGAAGGATCGCCAACTTAAAAGTAGGGTCACTGTTTGTTTGTCTCATTTGTCTTGACTTTAACATAATTCTCTCCCAACATGCGATGCTGACATAGACGGTTACCAGCTTTCTTAAATTTCTGGCCACATTCCTGGCTCGCCCTCTACTTTCTTCAGTCTCTCAATCTTCCCTTCTATCCCTGTCTTCACGCGACTCGAAAATATTACTCACAAAGCGTCCGATTACCGAAGATATTGAATTCCTTGGAATCGTTCCATTACGACCTGTTCATGAAGGACTGGATTGGAGTGTGGGTATGTATCCGGGAGCATATAATGGAGAAGAATATAAAAGCGAAGAAGAGGATGAAGTGAGAATTGCAAGAGTTCTCGGATTTGCCAAACGAGTCGCTGAAATTAAGGTTAGATAAATTGCATGAAACTTTGGAGAGTTAGGATTTGACTCGTGTATAGTTTCTGACACGCTCCCGACATTTTTGTTAATCACTAGACATTCGAAATCTTTACTTACAATGAGCAAACGGGAATGTTTATTTTCTTAGATGAAGAGACAAAGGTATACAGGCATCACATCATTATCAACAAATATGGCCGTTCATATATTAAGATTCGAACGTATCGTCTTTCGTCTCTAAAACCAGAAAAGAGAACGCCAGCGCTTAATGAAAATTATGGCCGAACAAAGACTCAGAGAACAAGTCACATCGCTTGAAGCTGGTCTCACAAAACTCGGGATTCAACCAGCATCGCCCCATAATGGTGTTGGAACATATACAGAGAAGACATGTCTTATCGATGTTGGAGTATTGATTGATTGTTTAACAACGGTGAAGAAATGGATTGCAGATAACCATACCGAAGTTATTGTTCCACTAGACGGTAAGGATCAAAGTTAAATGTGGAAATTCTTTTTTTTATGTCGACATGTGCGTCGTTCTCACTTCCCTAAATCTTATAACGAACTAACTCGTCTTTATTATGTCTATTCATTTCTCAGCCATTGATGTATTAGATGTACTAAAAAAAGGGAGTGACGCGAAAAACATCCATGCTCGTGATGCAATTAGATATCTTGATACCCAGCTTCAAAAACGCCAACTATCCCAACCCTCATCATTAGATCGTGAACATTTTATAAGAGCACAGAACATTAATGAAAAACTGTCCAGTTGGAATGAAGCTGAAGAATATCTTATTGATCAACGGTGGCACAACGAAGAAGCAGAAGAAAACGAAGAAGATCAAGATGATTATGATGCACTGCAAGGAGAGGGGAATGGAGAGTATAAGGAGTTAGAGCGGGAAGACAAAATTGGAATAGAGAAGACCAAGGGAAGCACTGGCAATGGTAACAATTACAAACGATATAGCAATAACGATAGGAAAATTATCACCATCATGGACATTCCGAAGACGTACCGTCCAATTATAAGTGCATGTTTATATTATATACATATTGGAAAAACTCCAAATTTCTTCCTTGTTACTGAAGATGCAGAGTGCCAAAAATATGCACAAAGATTTAGTATACCTCTGCATGCTATTACGGAGGTATAGCATACTAACAGAGTCTGTTGTAACTTGTAATCAATATTAAAATTGGTGTGAAAATCGACTTCAACTATAAGCATAAGTTTCATTTAGAAAATTCGCTCTTATTCTTGTTTCAAAATGTTACAGTTTGTTGGAGACATCGACAGTCAACCAAGCCATCTAATGTCTCAAGACCGGACTTGGAATGGGTGAATTATATATATCGGCTCGCAGATAGTATGGGCATCCACATCAGTTACATATGCATTATTAATAGATTGTGAAGCTAATTTTCTGGGGTTTCAACACAGGCTTGAATTACAGCTTGAACGTCGACTCATATTTTCAACTAAATTTTTATAGTGTGGAATTTAGCCTGTATATTGCCATTTTTCAAAAATTTACTATGTTGCCAAACAGTATGATTATAAACAGATTCCACTGACTGTATTAATATCAATGTTAGTATGCTGAGGAAGCCTTGTCGTTACGAATTAGTCAAACCCCTTTTTTAAGCAACACGTTATATAGGCGTTGCGCATCTGGCCTTTTCATGATATGCTACATGTTATTAACTTGCCAATAGTTTTGCGCTTCCTATACCCAAATCTGACAAATCCGAACGTAGATACTAAATCTGGCGTGGCGAAACCCCAAATACACGAAATATAATAATGATCGACTAAAATCATATTTAAGTTATTACACAGTCAAATTTAAAGCAAAAGAGCACATTGAACGATGTATGGAAATGTCACATGCACAGAAATTTATTGGGAGAAAAGCGTGCATGTAATGTGCAGTTCATGAATGTACGTCGGAAAAAAGGTTATAAAGAAACGCTCAACCGAACAATGAAATAATTCCTGACAAACATTGTGAAGTTTGTTTTAGCAACACCGCAGTATTTTAGTAGCACCGATTTTATATTAATTAATGAATAGGTCATTAAATTGGATTTCATTTCATGTTGATCATCAATTATGTGGGGGTTCCCTAATTTGTTATCGCGCGATTGAACCTGCGAAAATCAAATGTTCTCGCTTCAAAATCCGTAGTAGGAAGGGATCTGCATAAATATGTAACTCACCGAACAGGTACCTTTGGTTATAATTTGCACATTCTAAAACGATTATGGAAAATTCCCCGACTCATATGACAAAACTTGAGGATAATCAATAGGGTGATTACTCAATCATTCATCGCAGTTTACGTTCACATCCCAAGGCGATGGCCAGATTTGTAAATGATATTGAACGTTCCACCAGCTAAATAATCTCTCAGGCGACGATACTTCACATGTATCAATTATGCCAATTAAGTGATGTGCAATTATTGTACGTCTGAATTCCAACGTGTTTTTCGAATCCAGAAAGAATATTTATGGCATCGGAATGCTTCAAATTCATAAAAAACTATAAACAACCTATCGAATCTCTTACAAAAGCTATCTCTTAACGTCAGAATAGAAGTATCATTCATCATGGGAGCCATTGGGTCGGAGAGCAGTATTGCAGAGGTATGCGATTCTACCATTCTAAAAGCTTACAAATATTCAAACGTCTACAAACGTATTGTGTAAGAAAGACTTTGGGTGAGTGATCTTTTATTTTATTCATCAATCTGCATTCGTTGTGGACAATAAACCTAATTATTATTACGTTGTATTTTAGTTACTATTATGGATTTCTCAAATACAACACGAAACAATATACGTGTCTGATTTTTTTTTTCTTGTTTAGGATATTGAGAGGATATTACCTTCAAGGATCGCGGGCAAACAATTCGATGAACGTAAGTCTAATTACAATAACTCCTTATCCTTTGGTTGATAATGATTATAATGGTAATTAAACGACGTTTTTTATATAGATTACTCCGAAAATAACATGATTTATACGGGCACGGATACAAACAAATTGAAGAATCAATTAGCAAAACTATTGGAAAAAATAGCAAACACGAATGAAGCCCATCACTTTGCAGAATTACACAATTTGATATCAAAAATAGAGGCAAAGCTTGATGAGGATGAATTATTAACGATGCTAAAGATAGTAGGAAGCGATAAAATTTCGTACGATATTCACAAAAGCACTACCAGTATGGAACTGGAGCTACATCTTCGAACGTATGCTCTGGTCTTGGAAGCGTATAACAAAAAACAACCACTAATTAGAAAGCAGTTTTGTCTAACATTGTGTAAAAGCCTTGCGACACTATATGACATTCATAAACGCCACGCGGAACTTTTGAAAAGAGGGTTGATTAATGCTAAATCGCCTCAAGGCCAGCATAAAGTTAAACAGGCTAAGCGTGGTCCATACAGCATTCTTGAAAAAGGCATTAAGATTCAGAACTACAACATTGACTTTTTGCTATTACATTTACACGACACTCTTCATGCAATGGACGGTGGTGGAACGCAATCATTTGGAACTGTGGAGCAATTGAAAGCGAGTTTCATCGCATTGACTAGACTCTTTTCTGAAATTGAAATTGCAGTTGGTGAACGAAATGCTGTCGAGGTGTATAATCATGTTCACGAAGCCCTGAAGTTTAAATTCCCAGCTAACTATTGGTTTAAAGACTGGAAATACTTGTATGACACATACCTGGCATTCATCGAATGGTCGTCTATTCCCATTAATCAAGATCTGGTTAGTAAGGGTGAATTGATGATTGTTAAAAATTTGTGGAAATTTGGATATCAAGAATGGAACAAAAAAATGGCAAAGTCTGAACCCAAGGTAGATGACTTTGAATCAAGATTAGCATGCTCTTCAGCCGGATATCGACCTATATCATACCCTTGTTTGCTGCTGTATGGCGTTTTGGATATTGCTCAGAATCTGGCAATTCACACAAAACACGAAAGTACGTTATCGCATTGCTACCACCTCGCAAAATTGTCTCTCAATTTTGAGTCGACGGAACATATCCGCTACAAGGCTGCTGAAGTTCTTTGGACCGTCTTTAAAAAGGATCCTATTACCTTTGCGATAGTCGATCTTGATTTTGAACGATATGAAGAAACGTTGAGTGAATCAGATAAAGAGAGTTTTACTGATATTAAAACCTATCTCGGCGTAAAACACATATATGATTACAACTCTATCAGGCGGGGATTTATAGTACCAGATACAAAGCGCCGGAGGAAACAGATTCCAGAGCAATTATTTAATGCGGATCCACATGACTTATCAACCTTAAATATAATCGGCGAATATCTGACTTGTCCTTTGACACAAGAAACGACGGGAGATTTTAAAATATTGCCATGCAACCATAAAATTAGCTCTTTATTGCTAGATCAATTCATTAATGCAGACCACCAAGAACTCAAATGTCTACACTGTGATGGAGCGACTAAAATTGAAGACATTAAAAAGTTGCCCGCCTCAGTGATCTATAAGCTGTTGTATTCCAAGTTTGTAGGAGCTCGTCATTCTGACACATTGATGGGGAATATAACAGACGTTGCAATCAATAATAATGATAATAGCGATGAAGAACAAAGTAATATTAATGATGACAATACCATAGAGTCTTTTCGTGCGAAATTAAATAGTATGTCTTCATCGAAATCGAAACGGAGACAACTTACCCCTCAACAAAAGAGAACATTAAAACTTCGTAAAGCAGAATATAAGCAGGGCAAACAAGCATTCGACGAAGGAAGATACAATGACGCAATACCATGGTTTGAGAAAGCATCTCAATATTTTTCTAATAGCTCGACCATTCAGTGTGATCTTGGTATTGCTTACATGAAGAGTACAAACAATCAGAGAGGTCTACAGAATTTAAAACAAGTTATTCGGAAAAATCCTAAAAGTGTGAGGGCTTGGACTTGGTGTGGAGAATTTTATAGGACAAACAAAAAGTATAAAAAGTCTCTTAAGGCTCTCGACCAAGCATTGGATATTAAACCAGACGATGCGTTTGCGCTCTGTATAAGAGGAACAGTTTATTTTGAGCTTCACCGATATAACGATGCATTAAAAGACCTCGATCAGGCGATAGAGATTGACCCGAATCAAAAATTTGCATTAAGGACAAGAGGATATGTTAACGCGATGCTTAATCAACACGACAATGCATTAAGCGACCTTAGTAGATTACTAGAGATTAAACCAACGGATACATTTGCATTGAAAACGAGAGGAAACGTCTGTCTCGCTCTTAAACAATATCAGAATGCATTGCACGACTTTAATGAGTTACTGAAAATTGAACAAAACGACGCAGAGATCCTGACTATGAGGGGAATGGTTTATTACACGCTTGGCCAGTATGAAAATGCATTGAGTGATTTTAATAAATTATTGGAAATAAATTCCAATGATGACTTGACTCTGAACAAAAGAGGCCATATCTATTGCAAGCTGAGACAGTACGACGATGCGTTTATAGACTTTGATAACTCGATCATTACTAAACCGCATAATGCATTTGCGTTGAGAGGAAGAGGATATCTTTATGCCATGTCTGAACAACATGAACTTGCAATAAACGATCTCATCGAGTCACTGGAAGTTGAAGAGAATGACGCATTTGCATGGACAGTAAAGGGAGGTAGCCATTTCATGCTTAAACAGTTTGATAAAGCGTTATACGACCTCAATCAAGCGCTAAAGATCGATCCAAATCATGCATTTGCGTTGAGGATAAGGGGAAATGTCTATCGCGTAATTCAACAATACGACAATGCCTTAAAGGATCTCGACCAATCACTAACGACTGAACCGGATAATGCATTTGCATTGAGAGTAAGAGGAGCAATCTACTGCAAGCTTAAACAATATAACAAGGCATTAGAGGACCTCAATCAATCATTGAAGATGGAACCGAATAACGCATTTGCTTTGAGAGTAAGAGGAAATACTTATTCGTTGCTTAAACAATATAGAAATGCATCAAAGGATCTCAATAAGTCACTGGAGATAGTACCAAATAATGCGTTTGCGCTGAACAAAAGGGGAGCACTCTATTACATGCTTGGACAATATAATAGTGCATTAACGGACCTCAGTAAATCACTAATGATTGAACCAAATAGTGCGTTCACGTTGAGAGCAAGAGGAAACACCTATATCATGCTTGAACAATATGACGAAGCAATACAAAATCTCAACAAATCACTGTTACTTGAACCTAATAATATATTTGCCTTGAATGCTAAAGAACGTGCTTATAATTTGCTTAAGCAGGGAGGTCTCAGTCAATCACCAAATAATCAAGCAAACGATAAAACGACAATTACGAAAGAAGTAAATATTTACAGGTACAAACGTGACTCTGAATTACAAAAAATTGAACGCCTTAATAATAATTACATCTAATTAATAATAATTAATTGTTACGGCTTTGGGGAAAAAGTTGTCTTTTTACATATTATACACATACTTAAACAAGCTTTTTTAATCTATATAAGCTTATGTAATGTTTTTATATTTTGTATTCTCAAAGTACGGTGTTGCTTCGGAATAAACCATGGCTTTACCACAGATTTGATCAGTTATTCGTAATATTGTAGGATTCCCTCTGATGTTCATAATAACCAAACACTGTAGGTTGAACTTTGTATCGCTCCATTTGTTGGACATCGTTTTGTTGATATGATCTGAAGTCACATGACAATTTCAAATATTGTAATTAATTGTCTACAAACGCGCTTACTTTATTAATATAAGAAATCTTCCTACAGACTATCGAAATTTATCTTATCGATAGTGAGTGGAGGTATATACTGCAATTTAGTTAGCGATCGAGTCTGCGTCATACAGTATAGTAAAGTCAGTTTACAGTCACCAACTACTGTGATCTCTAATGTCTTCTCTAATGGTAGAAATTCAGTCTGGTAATCTCTAGTTTTCGGCATATGCTGAACTTATTCAAGTTTACAGTGTCGAGAGCTTAATCAGTTGTACGAACAATTATTGATGAAATCCCAGCAACGTTCTTATTAATACGATTACACCTAATAACAACTACAACAACACCGCTCGTACCAATTTTTCTATTTAATTTAGCGGAGAGTAAGGTTAGCCAAGCCTCGTTTATTATTATTAAGAAAAAAATGAACAAGGAATATAACATAAATGAAGTGAGTGCATAATAATAATGAGTATCAATTGCAAATCTATATAGTTGTAAGTCTATTATAAGCAGTTAATTGCTTATTATATTATTGTAATAATCATAGTAGTAATAAGAAATACCTCTGTTTTATCAATAGTAAGCTAGTGATTTTGCTAGAAACAATTATTATTGAACAACATCTGAGTAAGTAAGTATTGAATGGCATGTGCACTCTACACATAATAATAAAGGTAAATTTGTTGCTCATTACAGACAAGCAATCTAAAGTTTTGAATGAACCACTTTGTGTTGAATTTATTCTAGTGAAATATAGTTACTTTTTAATCTTCTATCTCCTTCTCAAAATAAAGAGACAGCTTCCTTTGTGCCTTTGTATGTCCTTGTTCAGCAGCTTTTTGGTAGAATTCAAGTGCTTTTTGCATATCTGGTTCTATTCCTGTTCCATTTTTGCAACAATTGCCAAGACTGTACTGTGCACGAACATGTCCTTGTTCTGCTGCCTTTTGATATAATTCTACTGCCTTCTGGTTATCCTTTTCAACCCCAGTTCCAGTCTTGTAACACCAGCCAAGATTATATTGTGCACTAGAATATCCTTGTTTTGCTGCTTTTTCATATAGCTCAACTGCTTTTTGCTCATCCTTTTCTATTCCTGTTCCATTAGAATAGCATATTGCAAGATTATATTTTGCCTTAATATGTTCCTGTTTAGCAGCATGTTGATATAATTGAATTGCATGTTGATAATTTTGTTCAACTCCAATACCATTATCATAACATACTCCAAGATTGTATAGTGCATCAGCATGTCCTTCTTTAGCTGCTTTTTGATACAACTCAACTGCTTTTTGATCATTTTTTTCAACTCCCATCCCTCCTTCATAACAAATTCCAAGATTGTTTAATGCAGTGGTATGTCCTTGTTCTGCTGCTTTTTGATACAGCTCAACAGCCTCTTGATAATTTTTTTCTACTCCAATGCCATTTTCATAGCACACACCAAGATTGTATTGTGCACTAGCAAGTCCTTGTAAAGCAGCTTGTTTATATAATTTAACAGCTTTCTGACTATTCTTCTCTACTCCAGTTCCATTTCTATAACACACACCAAGGTTGTATTGTGCACTAGCAAGTCCATGTTCAGCAGCCTTTTGGTACAATTGAACTGCCTTGTAATCATCCTTTTCTACAACAATCCCATTCTCGTAACAAACACCAAGAGCATGCTGTGCATCAATGTCTCCCTGTTCAGCAGCCTTTTGATATAGATCAACTGCTTTTTGATTGTCTTTCTCTACTCCAGTACCATTGTAATAGAATACACCTAGATTAAACAATGAACTGGCATGTCCCTGATCAGCTGCCATTTGATACAATTCAACTGCTTTGTGGTGATTTCTATTTACTCCAATTCCATTTTTATAATAATTGCCAAGATTATATTGTGCTTTAACATGTCCAATATTAGCTGCTTTCTGGTATAATTCAACTACTTTTTTGTTGTCTTTTTTCACTCCAATTCCTTTTTCATAGCACACACCAAGGTTAAAAAGTGCATTAGCATGTCCTTTTTCAGCTGCTTTTTGATACAATTCTATTGTCTTTTGATTATCTTTTTCTACCCCTATTCCATTTTCATAACATATACCAAGATTATACTGTGCATTAATGTGTTCTTGTTTAGCAGCCTCTTGATATAACTCAAAAGCCTTTTGATCATCTTTTTCTACTCCAATTCCATAGCTGTAGAGAACACCAAGATTATACTGTGCATTAGCATAACCTTTTTCAGCTGCTTCTTGATATAATTTGACAGCCTTTTGATCATCTTTTTCTATTCCAATTCCATAACTGTAACATACACCAAGATTATATTGTGCACTAGCATCTCCTTGGTTAGCAGCTTTTTTATATAATTCAACAGCCTTTTGATGATTTTTTTCCACTCCAGTCCCATGTAAGTAACATACACCAAGATTGTATTGTGCATTGGCATCTCCTTTGTTAGCAGCTTTTGTATATAATTCAACAGCCTTTTGATAATTTCTTTCCACTCCAGTTCCATGTTCATAACAAATGCCCAGATTATTTTGTGCACTAATATGTCCCTGTTCTGCAGCTTTTTGATACAGTTCAACTGCTTTCTGCTCATCCTTTTCTATACCAAATCCATTGTTATAGCACAGACCAAGATTGTATTGTGCACCAGGATCTCCTTGTTCAGCTGCTTTTTTAAACTGTTCAGCTGCTTTTTGGTCATCTTTTTCTGTGCCAATTCCATTTCTATAACATCTACCAAGACTATTTTGTGCATTAACATCATCCTGTTTAGCAGCTTTCAGATAGAATTCAACTGCTTTTTGGTCATCCTTTTCTGTACCTGTTCCATTTTCATAACACACACCAAGATTATATTGTGCATTAGCATTCTCCTGTTCAGCAGCTTTTTGATATAATTCAAATGCCTTTTGATCATCTTTATCTACTCCAATGCCATTATCATAGCATACAGCAAGATTATATTGTGCATTGTCATCTCCTTGTTCAGCAGCCTTTTGATATAGTTCAACAGCCCTATGAAAATCCTTTTCTACACCAATTCCATTTTCATAACATACTCCAAGGTTATATTGTGCACTGGTAAGCCCTTGTTCAGCTGCTTGTTTGTACAATTCAATTGCCTTTTGATAATCTTTCCCCACTCCAATTCCTTTCTCATAGCAAACACCAAGGCTATACTGTGCAAGAGAAAGTCCTTGTATGGCTGATTTTTGATACAATTCAATTGCCTTCTGAGTATCACATTCTATGCCAGTCCCATTTTCATAACATATACCAAGAATATATTGTGCATCAACATCTCCTTGTTCAGCAGCTTTCTGATATAATTCAACTGCTTTTTGATTATTCTTTTCAACTCCAGTTCCATTTATGTAACATATACCAAGATTATATTGTGCACTGGCATGTCCCTGATCAGCTGCTTGCTGGTATAATTCAACTGCTTTTTGCTCATCTTGTTCCGTTCCAATTCCATATTCATAGCATATTCCAAGATTATACTGTGCACAGACATGTCCTTGTTTAGCAGCTTCTTGATACAATTGAAATGCTTTCTGGTTATCTTTTTCTACTCCAATTCCATTATCATAACATACACCAAGACCATATTGTGCCCTAGCATGACCTTGCTTGGCAGCTTTCTCATACAGTTCAACTGTCCTTTTGTTGTCTTTTTCTACACCAATTCCATTTTTGTAACATAAACCAAGGCTATACATTGCACTGGCATACCCTTGATCAGCAGCATTTTGATATAACTCAACAGCCTTTTGGTAATTCTTTTCCACTTCAATTCCATTCTCATAGTATACACCAAGTTTATACTGTGCATCAGCATTTCCTTGTTCTGCAGCTTTTTGATATGACTCAATAGCTTTTTGATCATTGTTTTCTGCTTCACCATTATTTTCATAATGTGTACTGGATATAAATTGTGCATTGACATTCTTTTGGTCAATTAGGTTTTGATAATCTGTCTCTGCCTTATTTCCATTTTCATAACATGTATATTGTAAGTTCATATCTTGGTCACTAGCAGTATGATTATTGTTTTCTTCTCCTGTATTATTATTAGAATACATACTAATACTAATACTAGTACTAGTAGCAGTATCTTGATTATCTTTTTCAACTTGAGTCACTTGAGCTTCATTATAGGAACATCTAGTACTAGTAAAATCATATGATACATTGGCATCTTGTTCAGTGTCTTGAGACAACTTGTTGACCTTTTGACCATCTTCTGATTCAATGTAATAACATTCAATAAGATCACATTGGTGCATATCTCTCAGTTCATTGGCCTTTTCTGTCTGGGTGAGATTATGTTGCACTTGTTCAGCAGCCTTTTGATCTGATTCAACTGCCTCTTGATTGCCACTTTCCATTCTATTGTTATCCATATAACAGTCATCAAGATCATATTGTGTTTCAACATAATCTTGTTTGACTACTTTTTGATATGATTTGTTATGGTATGCATTTTGATAGTCTTTTTCTACTGAAGCACCATTCCAATGACATATACCCATATTATATTGTACAGAATCTTGTTTAACAGTCTCTTGATTGCTCTTTATCTCACTTTGATCATCATATTGTATAGTGGCACTTTCTTGTTCAGCTGCTTCTTGATAATATTTATTCATTTCCCCAATCCAATTTTTATAAGATAGCTCTGAATTGGTTTTTGCATTGGTAGGTTTCTGTTCAATATCAATTGAGTCTTGATATAATTCAACTGCTTCTTGCTCCTCTCTCCCAAATTCATTTGTATATAAGGCATCAAGATTTTCTTGCTCACAAGTATCACCTTGGTCAACTGTTCTTTGTTGCAACTCAGCTGTCTCATGATCATTTTTTTCTATTTCAGTTCTATCTTTATAAAATACATTAAGGTTATTTTGCCCTTCATATGCAGCATGTTCTTGCACAACTGTTTTTTGACCATTTTCATAATTATGTTTTGAACTATCAACAACAATTTCTTGATTTGTTTCGAAAGTCTCTTCATGGAATGTATAATACTTCAGCTGTGTATATTGTCCATCAATTTTATATGACTCAACACTTGTGTGATTACTACGTTCTGTGTCAGTTTTATTATTGCATGTGTCAACCTGATTTTGTGTATCAACATGCTCTTGTTCAACTGACATGTGACCACTTTGTTCTATACCAATTCCATTTCTGTAGAGCTTAAGAAGATTATCTTGTGCATTAGTGTGTCCCTGTTCAGCAGCTTTTTGATAGAATTCGATCGCCTTTTGGTAATCTTTTTTCACTCCAGTACCATTATGATAACATAAACCAAGAATATGTTGTGCATCAGTATGTCCCTGTTCAGCCGCCTTTTGGTATAACCTGATTGCCATCTGCTCATCCCTTTCTACTCCAGTTCCAGTTGCGTAACATAAACCGAGAGCATATTGTGCACAAGCATCTTCCTGGTCAGCTGCCTGTTGGTATAGTTCACTTGCCTTTCGAAATCTCTTTTCAGTTGTATAGCACACGGCAAGATTATATTGTGCATTAGCATGTCCCTTTTCGGCAGCTTTTCGGTATAATTTGACAGCCTTTCGAAAGCTTCTTTCCACTCCAATCCCATTTCTATAACACACAGCGAGAGCATACTGTGTACTGGCATCTCCTTGTTCAATAGCTAGTTGGTACAAGTCAATTGTTTTCTGATCGTTTTTTCTTACTCCGATTTCATTTTCGTAGGAAAACCCTAGAATAGATTGCGCAGAAGCTGAAACGAACGTCCGTTCATTCATCTTTCTAACATTTATTAATTGCGATGAATCGATTAAATATGTGGCAACGTACGTCACACGAATATTAGATGTTTTTGTTACACTTGCAGGGATCAAATTAGGAATTGAATAGCCTAACGTTAATATAGAAATATAGGTGCTACCTCCCTATTTACTAAAATTAGCAATCACTGTATGGGAGGTAGAGGAGGTACAATAAAGAAATCTTTCCACTTCTTGTGAGCACCTAACTCACCTACCTGCCAAATCTGTCAGGGGGAGCATAAATTTATCATGCATGAGTTCCCGATTGGGAGTATACGAATTGAAAATCGATGATTATTACCACAGGTATTTGCTTGTCAATGTCTGGCACACAGACCTCATGTGTGCGAAGAGTGATTACATTGGTTGTTTGAACGCATTTGTAGGGTATGTTACACGTGATTTCCAAGCTAGGATGATAAGATCGCTACAAATATATGTTCCTATCCTGATGGCTTCGCTATTACTGGATCGCATTCTCAGCAATAAAGAATTTTCTCCATTTATCACCATCGAAGATACGATACAACAAACTGCTAATGTAATAGTAAGAGAGTTTATCAGAAGAGCCAGCGCGAAAGAGTAAGTGTTGTGAGCGTTGGTAATTGACTTGTAGGTGGCTTATTGGAATATTAATACTACTCTTGCTTTTTATTAAGAGATAATACCATCGTCATCTTATGTACAGATTGCTCACCTAGCTGGTTCACAAAGAGCGTTAAGGGACTCCATTCAAGCAGGTAATATTTCGGCTTTTAAATATTCGTTTGGATTAGTTCGTCACAATCTAATATAACCTTACGTTTTTAGTTTTGTTATCATTGATGCTTACTCAAGAGTGAATTTGTATAACGAGGAAGATTTAAGCCCGTCAATGAACTCAGATATCAATACTATTATGGTTGATGATATTGAAGATATAAGTCCTCTAGCGACTTTGATTCAAGATACAATTGTGAAATGTAAGAATGTGATGTTATGTAATTAGATTCCTTGTATCAATTATCGATCTCAAATTGCTTTTTGACATTGAACAGTGAAAACATCCACATTCACTTTGTTTATTGATTCATTGACACCACTACTCCAACGCTCAACATCTGCAACATTCAATCTGCTAAAGAAAGTAAGCAATAAAATCTCAGGTAAACGTTGATATCAAATTAAGATATCACGAGCATAGCAATACATTATGCTAACCAACTGTTGATTGTTTTAGATAATGGAAGAATGATAGTAATTTATCACTCAGATATTCCAATTCCATCAATGTTTAATATTGGTAATACACTGTCACACATTGCCACAGCTTCCATATCGGTGAATAATATGGAGATATTTAACAAGCGGTCAACAAAAGGGTTCACAGGGATGGTTAATGAGGAGGGGTTATCAGATTGTGTCAATTCATTGGACAATGGTGTCTGTATCATTCAGTTAAAGAAAAAATCAGGAAGAATACAACATGAGGTGAGTCATGAACACAATTATCTAGTAGCCATATTACCCCAGTTGGTCATTAATAGTTGACAACTCACCATCTATGAGACAAATACATACCAATTGGATGAGTTGACTGGGACGTTCAACGTATCTCTAGTTCATGAGTTGAAAGTACAGGATGAATCAACTGAGGTATTTAACATCAAAGTATCGTGATATTATTCATACTGAATATACGGTATGCATTCACCGTTATCAAAACTCACCATAACGTCTTTAATTCGACACAATTAGCCTGACCCAACTACAGCCAATCTATTATTTAATTTGAGAATAACTGAAGAGCAGAAGAAAGCAAGAGATGAAATGGTGTTACCGTATGTTAAAATACATGAAAAGTCCGAACCAAGTGCAGAAAGCGGTGGGAAAATATTCTATGATCCAGATGATGTGGATGACTTTGATGATGAAGATCCAGATGATGATTTAGACATATAAACCACGAATATCGTTCGGCCATTATAAAGCGATAGAGGCATAAATCCATATCACTGCTCATCTCATTCCATTTACTGTAGATAAAATCCAATCACTTTATTTTCATATAATTCGTCACACATTCAGTTGTTTACAACTGCCTCGACGGTCTTCCCACTCTCCTGGTCTTTCAGTCCAATTGTACACTTCCTCCACGCATCTATCTCAATACTAAATTCTACGGATTTCATCCCATTCTCTCCAGCCTGTATCTCATACAACGCAATCTCAGCTATCAGTTTTTCGGCTGTCGCAACAGGACTTGTTGAAACATCACTATCTTCCGCGTTGTCATTATTCTCATCTTCACCAGTTTGACTTTCATTCTCATTGTTCATATTCCTATCACTTTTGACTAGCCTCAATTCTCCTTCCCATACGCTAATATAGCAATCACGTTGATCATCATTTATTGAGAATTCCACAACTCTTCTCACTGGCAATGGTGTGTTATCGGGTACAACCACGACAAAATTTCCGCTTGCGTTTACTATTCCGACGGGCTTAGTCAGATGAGGAGTTATCGTGATATCCTTTCCTATTCGTTCAGCGATGTCTGTATTTGTCATATTAATTATAAGTGAAGCCTGATAGGCACAGCCATATGAGATAACTTCATCTGGTTCGAGCTCTTGACGGATCACTGTGGACGGATGTGAAAATATATCCCGTATACGTGCTTGAAGTTTGGGTATGCGTATTGCTCCACCAATAAAGATCACCTTTAAGGATATAATGTATAACGTGAGAAATGTCCATCATAATTCCTCTAAGCCAAAGCTCACAAAACTCACCTCCTCAACTAAAACAGGCTCGATCCCAACATTGCCTATTGCCTCTTTGACAAACTCAACGCACTTGTCGAATAGCTTCCTACTCATAATTTCAAATCTAGTTCTATTAATATTCCCGTTGAAATCGATTCCTTCCGCTAAGGACTCTACGGAACATAATGCTGTTGTGGAACTACTTAACGTCTTCTTTGTAGTCTCTACAGCGCTTTTTAGCTTAGTCAACGCTCTTTTGTTAGATGATATATCGATTCCAGTTTTACGTTTAAACTCGGACGAGAAGTGTGTCACTAGTAAATCATCGAACGCATTGCCACCAACTTGTGGCGAGTGGGTGGTGCCGAGAATCGTGTACATTCCACTGCGAATCGACATTACCGTAACGTCTATTGACTCTGATCCAAGATCAACAATTACAGCCAACACATCTTTGGATCCACCTCGGTAATATGCAACAGCAGCAGCAGCGGGCTCATGAATTAATTGTAATACCCTTAACCCTGCCGCTTCAGCGGCTTGTCGGAGTGCTTCGCGTTGAGACTGAGTAAAGTATAATGGAATGGCTAATACGGCTCCGTCCACCGCTTGGCCAAGGAAATCTTCGGCACTTTCACGCAGTCGGGAAATATACTTGGTGGTTATTTCAGACACAGTATAAGACTTCTCTTGTGAATTGTGCGTTATTATGTATCCGGGAACGGAATCAAAATTTGATATTGGAGATGTAGGAAGAGAAGTTTCTGGAAGAATATCGTCAAAGCTAGAAATAAGAGGAAGAAACGCCGATTTTTTGATAATCAGAATGGCATGTATATCATATGATCGCCATATAATTATTAAGTTGAACGTCCATTTAGGCACCTTAAACCGATCAAATTCCTGAACTTTGCGATTGTATTCTTTGGATTCCCTAATGCTTGAAGTTTTGCCTGAGTTCCTGTAAACTACAATCAATGCCGATTAAATCATTATTATCAGCAATATTCTATAATACCCTCATCCTTAATTCATTCCTTTCACCTCTTCATCTCCCATAAAAGCAATCATAGTTGGTATTTGCCTCTCTCCATCTTCGTTAGCAATACAGTCCGTTCGACCATCCTGATACAAATTTGATTAGTACATGACTAACATTAATTGTATCTTCCTAGCAGAAAGAAGAGAGCACGTTGTTGGGTCAACAATTTCTCACTTTGGTTATAATTGCGATGCTCGAGTATGTTTGTCCAATTCTTAGACCAATTGCTACTTTTGCCGAAGGCGCCATGATATGAATCTAGTTGAAGAATGATTGTGGGATTTTTAAGAAGAAAAATTTCTGGTACGATGGCTGATTGGATGTGTAAATATCATGTGAATGAGAATAATATTAATAATGGTGAGAATGTAGCTGTCAGAATTTAGCTTGGTCTCCAAGTTCACGGTCCCACGAAGGCTTCTTAGTCTTTCAATTATTCACTCGTTTCAACCCGTCTACAATAGGTGCTTAACTAGCCACCTCTTACGCTCTATGAACAACTCTAAAAGTCCCACACTCTGTAAATGTGGCATTGCAGCCACCTTCCGTCAAGTACGGAAAACAGGACCTAATGAAGGAAGATTTTTTTGGAATTGCTCCAGAGCAAATGCTACAAGATGTGATTTCTTCAAGTGGGCTGGGGAAGATAGCGCTCTTTCTGATTATAAGAGTGATGACGAGAATGACGAACGCAGATTATTGGGCAAGAGAAGTAGAAGTAAACAAGAAAAAGAAGAAGCGTTCTGGATGAATAAGGAAGAGGCAATACGATGTAAAGATTATGTCCGACAAAGAACAGGATATGATGGTCAAGTAAGTTATCTGTAGTGTATCAAAACCGTGTAACGTGATCTTTCTAACCTTTCCGTCCTTGCAATCCGATCCGACAAGATTGTCACTACACCAGGATCCAATGCTGCCTCGACTCACGAATCGGATACAATCCATGTCACTAAATACATGTTGACTCCTTCTACACCAACATCTCTTGCTATCTCTTCTCCGACTTCACCAACACCAATTCCAATCCCGGTTTACGCTCAACCAGTTCAGGGATCTTTTGTTGACAAAGCAAGTGAAGAAATAATTTCGATCCTTCGAAATCATCTGGCTAAACAAGATCGTGTTGCAAATGGGTATAAACTGGCAAGAGATGAATCGAGAGAAAAGCTTAAAAGTATGAAACGTGAAATGGATTTATTGATGAATCAAGTGAAATCACTGGAAAAAGAGTGTGAATTATCTAGGCGCGAGTCGGAGGTTTTGAAGGCGGAAAATGTCTTACTTCAGAAACAATTGGTAGACGTCAAAAAAGGTATAAAGACTGAGTGATGCAACTGGTTGATTGATTCGTTAGAATGAGAATTCCTCTAAAAATAAGAGTTTTCGAGGTAGATGAAAGACTCTAGTTATTTGGGAATGAGGAACATTAAGAACACTAATAATTTTCTTTATGAACTCTATTATATTACAACTATTTATTACATTCTCTTATAGTATTTATTATATTCGAATTTCTAATATTAACTCGGGGGAGAGTCAAGTAATTAGCTTATAATAAAGGTACACAGGAATCCTTGTTCCAGTTACACAGAATGTATAGCAGACGTTGACAAGGATAAAAGTCATGGATTACGATTTTAATAATAAAAACATGTAGGCGATCGCCATGTACCACACATCCAAATAATAGCATTATTTGTATTTAACGAAACTATATTAAATTAGCGGCTGATTCCAAATCACCATTTGTGACTTCCAAAAGTTGAATAGCATATTCTCTGGTTATGCCAAATTGTACTAGACGCTTGATCTTTTCTTCCAATTGCGTGTCTAAATAACAAAATGTAAATTAACCATAGAATGACATATCAAACGCAACTGGCAAGCGTATGTAATTTCCAAACCTGAAGAAGGCGAAGAGGAAGAACCGGAAGAAGACACTGCTGCAGCAGCGGTAGCGGCGGCGGCGGCGGCGGCGGCAGGGTTTATCGATGAACTCGCTGTGCCCTCGGCTTTCGCAGATGTCGTCCCTGGAGTCACTAGATCTTCATCCAAAAATTCACCGTTTCTTGCGTTTTCTGGCAGTTCGTGTTCATTGAGAAATGGAATCTCTTGGCCTTGAATTATTAAACAGTTCTTTTGCAGATCTATACAAGCCTACGAAGTGAAGAATAAGAGTTACAATGGAAAAGCAGGTGTCAAGATATTTACAGTTGACAGAACAAACCTGATGTCTTTTTAACATGTCCAATCCAAATAGTAAATCAACTCCACGATTCTAAAAAAACAAGCGAGATTAATAAGACGACCATATGTTCTAAGCTACAATTTGTGATACTTTACCTCCATTACTACGAACGAACAAGCCAGATGAAGATCTTTTCCAACGCGAATAGGAGAGCTGTGTACACGACCCAAGATCTTTGCAGTTCCCACACCTCTCGCAATACCTTCAAATCGCTTGTCGACCAACCACATGAGTCTGTTTAAAACGGAGAAGAAACGTTCAGTATTCTTTCATTATCTCTTTCAAACCCCAGTGCATTCAAACCGGATATAGAATTCTTTACTTTACCCGCACGCTTCGGCACAAGTGGGACTCACTTTATGCAATCAATAAGCAAGCCAAATTAATATGACAATGCAATAACCACTGACTGACATATAACGATTACATACTAATTGTCGCCTGGGCACCAGAATCAACAAATGCCTTGACTGGGTGACGGTTTACTTCGACATCTATGTATAGCATTGTTACCTACAAAGATTTCGAGAATTCGGAGTGTTATGCGTATTGTTAATTCAAATAAATTTTTTAGCTATCGTCAACATACCCGGCCGAACACCTCAGGATTGAACTCCAAAGCGTTTTGATAATTTTCATTGATGTTTTGCTGTCGTATTGCCTCTTCGATTTTGCGTTGACTTTCAATGTCTAATCCATCAGGGTTAATGCCTGTCTACAATAAGGTAATAAACCTCGATGAGCTTTACTATCTGAAAACGAATGCATTCGAGGATATCGAAAATTGACATACAGAATAACCAGGGTCTTGTAATCCTGATCGGGGAAGTTCCCTGATTTGATTATATATCTCGGCAAATTGTTGTGGACTATTCAAAGCAGAATTAAGCGCAGCTGCTAATGGAGGATTTGTCTACACAGACGAGACATATTAGAATTGAACTACTATGATGAGAAAAATCAATGAGCAGAGCACAAAGTACAGTCATTGAAACTTACGCGCTGTAATTGACTTACTACACCAGGGGAGGAGAGCAAATATTGGCGCATTTGTTCCGACGACATATCACTGGATTCATATGACGTGTTAGTCTACTTCTCATACTCTAACGTTGATTTCAAGTTCAGAGAAAGAAGCTATGGTTACGTTGATGAAGAGTTCGAATTTCTATGAAGCAATACTATATCGTCTTCGATAACACCACATTGTTCTAAAGTCTTCTTAGGATCCTTAAGCTCTTTTCCATCGTGATAGAGAATTTGATCACTAATAGCGACGTTTGTCTGGAGAGGATTAATTGTGATAGGTGTCAATAATATTTATTGTAGTAATTAACACCAAAATTTAAGTTAATAAACTCTTTATTCCGAGCAGTCTACCTCCGCTTCAACTAAAGCTTTAAAATTCTCCAACTCCATTTGCGAATCCACTTCAACGTTATGCAATTCTCCCGTTTGAGTTGAAATACTGAGTCTCATTTTCGCTGACAATAGCTGATCAAGAAATAATAGAGGCAAAGGAATAGGAAAACCCCCGCAGGTCTCAACACTACTATGGGCATGATCAAAGTGAACACCGGTGGTGGTACAAGAATTTTAGGATAAATAATAAAACATTAAATGGGGCAGACTGCAACATAAACAATAATAATAATAATAATAACCAGACAAAGTAAACATTTGATCATGTGACATAATTGAGAGGCTGATTATGAATTAACTACCAACATCCAGTTTCAGAAGGCAGATTTTGATTTATACCCGGGTACTAATATACCATAAAACTCCAACATACGTACCATCCCACATGAGATGTACCCGAGACCTTTAGCATTCAATCGTAGGTGCAACTAATAAAGGAACGCAAAACTCCATGAGATGTACCCTCCACAGTTTCAGAGGTTTATACCCGGGTACTAATATAACAACAATATTTTGGTTTTTTGATTTGTAGCTCATTCTGTATTTTTTTGTTGAAAGTACATAGATACACACTTAGCATAATAATAATGATCAATACATACATATGTTAAGTCAATTACATTGACAATGAAAGTTCATTGAATGAGATAAAATTTATTTACATAACAATTGAATTGGTTCTATTTGTAAGGAAGTGGCTATTCCCAAATTACGTCACACTTTTTTCTCGGACTGATCAATACGGTGTAAAATCAATTAGGGAAATACCCCGGGTACATATGTTGGAGTTTTGACTGCTAACATTTTGATTATCACAGCAATAACATGTACACAAATTTTATGTAGCAAATTTTTATTACTATCTAAAAATCATGCATGATTAATATTAGACACGGGACATGTCGTTAATGTAAGACTTTATAATATAGGATTATCTCTATATAAAATAAAATATATGAACAATCGTTTTCAACAATTAATTATAAGCTCTCGTTTCTCAATTAAGAATAATAGATCAGCGGACAACTTATACAGCCGTTTACAGCTTGATAGAGCGTGTCCAGTCAAATAATTAATATTTCAGCGATAAAAGAAAGTAAAATTTCGATTTCAAAGGGAATCGTTTATTTGATTATTATTTTCGTGGAATGGTACTTATTATTATAACAATGACATTTGACAACATGAACAACATGAGAATTCTACGATGTAAGGGTCCCTTTAGCGACACTCGAAAATCGAAACGGAGTTAAAAATAATTAAACAATCGTAATTTCTATGAAGAACCAATCATTAATCATATTCTAAGTTAGCTTGCGTTTGTGCTGACACGCAAAAATCGAAACATTTTCTGCGCCTGACACTCAAATCTGACACTGAAATTGCGCGACGTCGTACTACCAACGTCGATCGTGGGATGCGGAGGAATGACTCACTTATCGTTCTAAAGAAAGCTCAAGGAGAAAAAATTGCTCCATACATTTTTAAAATCAATAATTATAATACTATTAGTATAAACTTTAAAAACAAAATAGTTGACAATATTTGTTAATAACAAAACTAATAGTGTAATAAATATTTGCAATTCCTCGCCTTCAACTATTTCTTCCAATCAAGTTGTTTCCAATTCATGTCTTAAATTTATTTTGAATACTAATACTTTTATTCATTGGACTCATAATTCGAATATTAGTGCCATAAATGTGCCCGCTGAGTCTAAGTAGTATGCCAGGTCAAACTTAAAGCTGTTAATTTTCATGAAGCAAGGAGATAACCATCAATCGCCCATTACGTTCTGATGGACAAGCTGCTGAATAAAGTTGGTCAAAAAACACCTTCAAACTGGGTTCCTTTGTTTGCAGCAAGTTTCGCAGTTCTTCAAATTCATACACTCTCCTGAAATAAGTATCGGACCCCCTTTCAATTTAAATTGCTCAATAATCCATATAATAATTTACCTCGATTTTTTTACAGTTTATAAAGTAGCTTTACAGGTAACTATTACAAACTTAATATTTCGTTGGCCATCCATTTTTAGCAATACATGCTTCAACTCGTCGTGGCATGCTTTTCACTAAACCTATATAAACATGTTCAGGAATTTGAGCCCACTCGTTCTGTAAGGCAATTTCTAACTCTAATATTTTTCGAACGATTTCGAATACGACGTTCCAATTCTGACCACAAATGCTCAATTGGATTCAAGTCAGGCGATTGACTTGGCCAATCGGGCAATGTTTTGATCTTTTTCGTCGTAATCCACTCACCAACATCCCTGGCCGTGTGAACGGGTGCATTGTCTTGTTGAAACATGTAACCTTTTTCATTAAATTTGGTACTAATGTAAGGCAATAAATGTTTCTCAAGTATTTTTATGTAGGATAATCTATCCATTTTGCCTTCTATTTTAACAAGTGGACCCAATCCCTTACCTGAAAAGCAACCGCATACCATTAACCCACCACCATGTTTTACTGAAGGAATAAGGTTTTCAATATTAAAGCGTGTTCCAGGAGTTCTCCAAATACGCCCTGGTCCA